GTTAGATTAGTTTATTAATTTACAAATATTTAACAAAGTTATTCATTAAAACAATTAATAAATATAAAATGACAGCATGTTATATAATACTTTTATGTACTTTTTTTTATTTTAATTCATTGATAAAAATATATTTTGGAGTCTTCATAATTTTATTTTTTTAATTATAAAATATTTTCATTTACATTCATACATCAATTATAAAGATATTTATATTATTCGTGTTATATTACATATGTTGAGATATATGTGGTTTAAAATTAAAATAAAGCAAAAATAACATACTTTTCAGAAGACATCATATTTTTATTATGTTAATTAAAATGAACTGAAGTATGACTAAAAATGATATAATAAATAACGATGATTGAAAAACATATGTTTTAAAATTAATTATAGATAACTGATATAACGTTATTAAATAAATTAAAAAATATATATTATACATTGAAAATATAAAATAATTTCGGTAAGTTTGTTAAAATTTATAATAATTACCCAAAAAACTCATATCATCAATAATTTATGATTAAATAACATTGTAAAATCAGTTTATTTATTCATTACATTGATAATAAAATTAAATAAAAATATCCATAATAATATATATGTCTTTATTAATTATGAAATTAATAAAAAGGTAAAAATCACCTGAAGTTTTTATCATCTTTAAAAAACCATTAGAATTTAAAGTAACAAAAAACTAAAAGTTATCTAAACACGTTCATGTTCTTAAGCGTTTTAACTCTATTTTATTACGTAGAGTCCTAGACTGAAGTTTAAAATTTAACATTTATTAATTAATGTCGGACATCTATATTAATTAGAGATATAAAATTATTTTAAATATATAAAAGGTGATTGTAAATTTTATTTTTAAATTGATTTTATAAAATTTAGTTAAATTTAAAGTCAGGTTTCTTACAATTATATAAAATTTATCTAAACTAAATTTAATTTGTTATTTGATAGTTAGACATATGTGTCATTTATTATTGGATTACTGTAAACCAATGTTAATATCTAATATATGTTTCGAGGTAAAAAAATGTATTGAAAATCTACATGAATAAATTTATATTATATAAATAAATACAAATATCACTGGGTAAATCCATTTTATAAGATTAAATTGAGTTTGAAATCAACTTCTTAATAGTTGATATATAATCTCAGTTCTCATTCAGTTTTTTGTTTGATTTGTTCAACCATATGATCCATGACCATATACATGTAAATACGTTGCGCAGCCTTATGCATACGTAATTGTAAGACTATGAATCTGTGACAGAAACTTTCGAAAGCACTACGTGAATGCTGATTCTAACATTGAAGAAAAAAGTGTAAATATTTGTGACAGTCATAATAGATTTTATCAACCAAGTTGGAGTTAAACAAATATTTAGTAAGACTCTTAGAATTTCAAAACCATGCATTTTGATCGAATATTAAAGAAAAGTAACGGAAGAAAGACGCTTACTGGAAACATTGAAGTCATTTGTGGAAGTCAAGCAAACATGTAGAAGGGGACCCTAATGGCCTAAATAATATCTTTCTTTATATTAATTAACGATGACAGAATCTACTTTAATACCTCTAATTTAAACATTTTTTCTATTGGGAATATTTCAAACCCAACAAAAAATAAAGGAAAAGTAACGTTTGATACTTCTATTCTATAAACTAGAAAACTACATGCATCTTCTCCTTCTTATGTTTGTAGCTAATTAGATTTTTTAGAACAATCCAAAAAGCTATATTATTATGTAAATCACGAGAAAAATTATAATACAAAGACATCTACTTTATACTATATATAAACTCCAATTTCATATATATATTCACAACAAATATTTTTACAATTTCATTTTTTTTTTTAAATTTCTCAGTTTTTACTAAAATAAATCAAGTTCTGAAACCGTTCTTGATAATAGCCATTAAGAAAATTCAACAGTAATGAATTACAAACAAATGTATAAGGAATTATAATAAAAAATTAGAATCTTCTATTTATATATTATTTATCTCATATTGAACTGAACTTACTTTAAATTTGTTCAGTTTGACCGTATTTATGAAGGTCTAACTCTTTCTGAATTTTCTTCTCAACAATAAAAGAAAAGAGATGTTTCTTATATTTGGTTTGCAGGGAAAATTATTAATAAAATAGTCCAAAGATGTTAGATGCGGAAAAGTTGAAAAGCTCCAAAATAGTTGCATTTGAATATTAAGCCATGAATTCGTCATCTTCGTTGATATATTATTAGGAAGACTTTTATTTTAGATGACCAACTTTTTCTTCGTCCCAGCACAACCCTGCTTTTTTGGCGTGTTGCTTGGAAAATTGACTCATTAATTATGACCTGTGGAAAATTTAGGGTGAAAACTTGATTACAAGTTACGATTAGTAAATTCGAAGGGATTGTAGAAGATAGCTTAGTCAAGTCTCAAGTGTTTAAGGTAATTGTCCATTAACATTCCCTTATAATATTTGATTGCGTTCAAGTAATAGTTAATAAGGAGATTATGTGTGCGAAATGGTAGGTGAGCTGAAAGTTTCAGAATAAGAAGATCTTTGGTGGATTGGACAAGGTTCGTGTAACATCTCTATCAATCCACTTTTAACTCAATGTTTGAAGTTTATGATCCTGACCAAGTGCTTTTAACTCCAACCATTCTAGAAATGTCTTTTATGTTTTTTTGGTTGATGTTTTGTTTTACTTGTTCTCTTCTCTCACCCTTATTACAAGACAATTCTCATGTGTTCTCCCTTTCAATCCTCACCATTTTTCACTCCTATTCATTACTCAATACGCCTCATCACATTCACATCAAACATATTGTTTAACTATTTTCATCTTTCGCTAAATTTTTATCTTTCTTGTAAACATGCATACAAAATATATCCCACAAATACATTCAAACATTATTTTTAGATTAAAAGTGTTCAAGAAATCTGACCACTATTTCATAATTAATAACGTGCATTTTTTTTCACACTTTTTTTTTCTTTAAAATTATAAATGCAATCGACTTTATTCACTCAATTATGTTTAAAAATTACTCATCATAAATAATTGTTACAGTGAAAAAAAACAAATAATTCAATTTCATAATTATTAAAACGATTAAATATGGTTTTAGTTTTTTAATGTAAAAATTAAAATTAATCTCTCTTCAAAACTTTGGATTAATTTAATTTATTTAGTCATTTGTTAAGTTTATTTAAAATTTTAAATGCGTTTCTCAAATAATATTGAATTAAAAATGTAAATAACACATATATTTACCATAAAATAGATTTGAAACATCAAATAAATTTATCAAATAAACTTAACAAAATTTGATTAAAAAGATTAAATACATACATTTCTAGAATTGAGGAACTAAATTGCACCAAAATTTTGAAGATTAACTAATTTAAATTTTTAATCAAAACAATATTTAGTCCTTATTAAAATTAATAAAAAATGTAATTAATTATATAAATTCTCCACTTAAAAGTAATATATATTTTCTTTACATAAAATAATCATTCTTTTAAATTATTCTTGTAGAATTATATATTTTCTGAAAAATTTATTCTTTTAATATGATAAAATATAAATAAAAACATGCATAAAAAGTATATTCTTTTCCAACTCAATTGAATCCTATACAATAGCTATATTTAAAAGACAAATACTACAATCTTTTAACTTTTTTGCGTATAGTAGCATATTATTAAATATTTTGTATAATATTTCCTTACTTTTAATATTTGTTAGTTTTTCCTTATGAAGAATATTTGTTAGTATTATTTGTTTAATGTAACATTAATTGTCGTGCGAAGTTAAAACTGAATTATGACGTTTAGACTATTAGGTTTTTAAATAGAAAATGTTGCATCGTAATTAAATATTATAACTTTTAACATTGTGATCAACGTTCAATCTAACATGATTTTGATAAAAAGAAATAAAAGCATAAACGAAATAAATCATTTGTTAATTATTTAATTTTAATTAATTAAATACTTTGTTAAATTTATTTATTTAACTCAAAATAAATATAAGTAAACTTAAATTTGGTTCAAATATTTTAAATAAGGTCAATTTACCTTGGGATCAATTAACCCACTTAGTATGACAAATTTACTTATTTGGTGTACTTTTTTTTTTTGTAAAATATTGGAATATACAATTTTTTTTTATTACAGGTTTTGGTGTAATAAAAACGTGTCCTCATATCACAATTTTCAATTAAAAATTAACCATGGAAAGTTATTCTCATTTGGTTTGATTTCATGTTACAAGTTATGTTCAAAACACACGCTTCTAATGCCAAAAAAAAATTGGAATTTGTGTCCAATACTCCCTGTTTCACTAAGCAAAGTATAACCTTAAAACAATATTTTTCTTTTTCCGCAAATATTGTAATCATAGTTCACGACTTTTACTTAAGTTATAATAAAATCGCTTCCTCAAACCACGACTTATACCAAAAATTTGTGATAAAAAAAAGAATTAATGGTACTATGTCACACTTTTACATTCATTTGACACATAATACAAGAATAAATTGGTCATAAAATTATAAATTTTTGTATTTTTTCAAGAAAGAAGAGAGTGAAAAGCAAGAAAGGATAATTTTAAATTAATGTAAAATATTTAGGTGTGTCAAAAAATATTATTCTAAAAAAAATGGTTTCATTATGGTATTTTAGCGAAAAACAAAGGTACATAAGATGGGTAAAAAAACCATTTAGTCATATGAATTCGTTTCTCTTCTTAATTTTGTAATGGTTGGGTAAGGGATGCTCCTCCTTTTTATTAAATAAAATTATTACTTCGACTTTTTCTACTAACATTTTTTTTTGTTTGCTAACAAATATATATATATATATATATATATATATATATATATATATATAATAATATGCGTGAATTAATATCACATTTAAGAATAGTAATAATATATTCAATATATCTATGAATACATATAGATCAAGTGTTATTTATTATAGTCTTATAAATGTAACTATATATTGAATCATACAAAAGAAAAATGAAAAACGTCCACTTCCTCATGGGTTATAGATTCTGGCTGCACGAGGGATGTATCATCGTTATTATTCTGCAGAAGGAAAGGAACAAAATGTATGGGTGTCTGTTTATTTGCCTGCAAAAGAAACATAACAATTTGAGTCAGGTTATAGAACTGTATTATTCTTTATATAATTTGAAAACTCTCGTCTCTTAGAAGTCGAAACTAATCCTATGTTTATTGGAATGGATTTTGAAAAGGAATTGAGTGGATTTGAGAGGATTTGAAGATAAAATTTTTTTGTTTTTTATATGAGTGAATTTAGAGATAAACGAGAGTGATTATAGAAATATCGTTTGTGAGAATTAGTGTAAAATTTAATTAACATGAGATATTAAAAAAAATTACTTTCAAATTCATTATCTGCTAACTCTAAATCCACTCAAATAAAAAAAATATCTTTCAAATCAATTAACAAGCACCCAAAAAAGATTGCGAAAGCCAGTTACTTACATTAATTTATTCTTTGTTCTAAGTGAATATATACTTCCCACTTGATCTTGGCTGCATTGAACTAGAGAAGATCCAAGATTTCCTTGGCTTGGAGGTTAGAAGTTGCAAGTTGATGCTGTGAAGGAATAGAAGCAGAAAGAGGACCATCTTGCCAAAGGTGGACCAAATTGGTGGTGCCGTTTGGAAGAGTGAGGGTGGCATAGATGGTGATCTCACTGTTCTGACGGGTAGCCGTGAGGCCAGAGTGAGGATAAGAGATGTTTCCCTCTGCCAACTGGGTTGAGTAACCTTGGACGGAACAAGTGTATGCTCTTGGGGCACCACCGGATTCTGAGATAGCCACCAGAGCCTGTGCTCCAACCATAGCCGAATCGAGGTTGTTGTTGGGATTGATGGCCCATGCAACCCACCTATCCGAAGCGTTGATTCCGGCGTGTCTGAATGCCATGTCCAACTTGGCTGTGGCCTGGTCGTAGGTCCAGTGAAGGTACGAGGTTAAGTGGGGAAGATCGCGGCATGAGGTGAAGACCTTGTTGTCTGTGAAGGTGTGGTTCATGCATGTCTGTGACTGTACTGAGGATGTGAGAAGAAGAGAGACTAACATAAATAACGCAAGCTTCAACTTTCCAACCATGTTTCTACACCTTACACTTCCTTGTTTATCTCCTTGTTCTGAAGAGGGAGAGAGGGAAGAAGGGGTTATTGTAGGAGTGGCTGTGGGTTATTTCGTCTGTATAACGTCCAAGGATGACTAGACTAGTCTGTGAGAAGAAAAACACAAAGAAAAAGAGAAACATCCTCAGCTTTCGTAAAGTATGAATTAACGTTAATCCTCATTTTCAGTGTCTCTTGTCTAATGGTTTAACATTTTATTCAAATAAAAGGCTTTTATATGTATGAACATTTGTCCATGTTTATGACAAAACTGTTACCATTGGATGAATGTTTTTACTGCTATTTCAAATGAATAGAAAATGTACTATTACTGACATTTTTCAGGTTGAGATTAAAAAGGAAAACTGAATGGAGATTGTTACGGTCTTCAAATCTGTGGAGACAATATAACTCGTGTGTTTTTAAGAGGAAATATTCAACAAAGATAAAGTAAAGTGCATGAATACCTTTTATCAACCGGGATTGATATCCTTCATCCTATTTTTTTTTTTAGATAAATCTCAAATTCTCTTTATTCTTTTATTATATGAAATTTTCAATATGTTGAAACAAGATATTTATATTGGGCTACTACAGATAGGTTCATATTGTACAGCATTTCCTTGGTTATTATAACATTTAAATGCCTAACAGGTAAAATAGGCTGTAACCCCTCTGACGTAGCTAGGGAAGGTTGTGTCTTCACATGTGTATGGACAAACACCCGTTATGTTTATATATTCACATTTTGTTGATGAAAGAAAAATATAAAGCAATTGGTATCAGTTAAAGCAGGATAAAGAATTAATCTTTGAATTAGCAATTTCATTATTTGAATATTGTGCATAGAATTCGGCACCGCATCAACTTTTCCTTCGAGTGGCGTGTAGCTTGGGAGATTAACGTGATGATCTGTTATCAAATATTCAACGTGAGATCTTTCTCTTAGAAAAAAGGACCAAGGAACGGTTGAATCTCTATTAGAAGCTACGATTTGAACCTACCAAATTATTCAAAAGAAAATTTATTGCTGGAAATATTCTGTGCGAAATGTTTTTAAAGGTCAAAGCAATGCTTCGCGTGTATAACGGGCTTCTTAACAACCCTTTTCTTTCTTCTCATGTCCCAATCTACTGCTATTCTAGTAATTATATTTTCCCTTTAAATCAATAACACCATATTTAATACTGCACACAGTTCTGTTTTCGTAACTTTGGTACCAATGCATCTTAAACGCGCGACTCAAAATTAAAGAAACAATTTCTTTTTCTTGTCCCATATTTCCATAAAGATTATGTTACAAAATACCTTCCATGATGGGAAAGTCAAAACATACTTTATGGAAGAGTATTTCTCCTTATATTATCTCACATTTTTTTTTCTTTTCCACAATTCAAAATCCGTTAAATTCTTTTTTAAAATGAAGGTTTGAAAAATCTTTTAACAAATTTTAAAATCCGTTGAAGAAAAGAAATGGGGTGTTGAATTTTTGAAAGAAAGTAAATAGTTTTAAAATTTTTAAAAAATGTAGGGATGCATGAAGAAATATGGGCGGTGTAGGAATAAATACTACTTTCTGGGTAATAATAAATTAGAGAAGCCCAATTTCGTAGCCCATTATGCCGGTAATTGTTGGGTACTATTCCCAGTGATCCATTTAACGAAACATAATATTGACTTCCTTTTATTGTCAACACCAACATTGTTTCTTGGAAAGAGTTTAACTCTTGGCACCCTACATCCTATTTAAACCTCTACCCGAATTGAAAGAAATATTAAACAGCCCCAATGTTTCTCCTCGTACGATGTTAAGAATGTGAAATTTAAATTTAATTTAATTTCATTAGATAAGATGTATTGTATTTATAGATAGTGAAATCTCTAACCCATCTTTTAATACTGACAAAAATATGAAACATGAGAACAGAATATTAAAAGAATAAATTCAACTCTATTAAATAGATTTTGAATAATTTTGATACAATATGAAAAGAATAAAATTTAAGTCCAATTCAACTCTATTAAAGCAGATAAATAAGATGAGTTTTGTTCTATTTATACTATAAATTATTTTATTTCTTAGCAAATGTAACATCTTGAAGGCCTCTGAAACACCCTGGAGTTGGAATCATAAATGCACCTCCTTTATATATTGACATTCTACTCCGAGCATAATATCTCATGATTATGGAAGGAACCGAGTAGGCTAGCACCGAAGCATATCAGTCGTGCTAAGTTATTGACTTACCGCATTATAAACCTCGTACTCACTCATTCACTTTCTGAACATGGATACAAAATTATTTATTTTCTCAAAGTAGTAGAGCGGAGAATCACCATCTAAAAACGCTTTAACACTGTGCATTTATAACTCTATTATTTGTTTGCGACTGTGTAGTGTTTCCACGTGAAGATGTGAGGAGATAAAAATCAAGGCAAACACATTTTCTCACAAAAATAATCTGAGCTCAAAAAAAAAACAGTGGCGTTTGTGCGGACGAAAGTGAGAAAGTGAAAGTAGTTTATAGAAAGCCCAATTTAAGATAGGGTGAGTTTGGACCACCCCAATTTTGGTGAGAAAAGTGATGGGCTTTTTCCATTATGCATGGTTGATTGGTAATTTTGTTTTGGTCGAGTGGTAGGACTAACTATGACGTTCCGGAAAAGGGCGTGGGGACCTGTCACACCATTTCAAAACACATTATAATTACAGCTGAGATTGGGACCACACCATGCCATTCAACGGCCTACTCCTCACCAAAAAACCTCATTATATACCTATATTTCTATCATTTTTTACTTTTTGTGTGCTGGTCTTGTACTCTGTCTTTAAAATATAATCATTGAGATTGATTTTAATATTTTCAAATATATTAAAAGGATTTTTAAATTATTAACATGCCTGTATTGTTAATGTTCAATAGAGAATAACACAAAACATTCCATAAAAAATATAGACTCATATCTCTAACTAGTTCTTCATATAAAAAAAATAGTAAATATTTTGCACTTGTTTCTTAAGGAATATTTAAGAGGTTGTTAGAAGTGTTGATTATGTTAAAAGTACACACAACACTCACTTTATAAAATAAAAAAATTAAATCTACATAGTTTACCTACCGTAATCCGTTTGCATTTGAATCTTCCAAAAGTTTGTTTCCATTTTTCTACCATCACTCCATTCACCTATAAAAACAATTGTATCGTCTTTATTTTTTATAATCATCCTACTAATAAATAAATAAATAAACCCAGGAATATACAAATAATATAATGTAAAAAATTTCAATATAGAAAAACAAAACTACAATTATTATCTAAAAACAACCAAATAATAATATTATGTGAATATTTGTACATCAGAAAGAAAACACTCTCAGTCATTTTACTATTGACTCCAAATATACATATACTTAAAACAAAAATTTAACTACACATCATCACACTTGAATACAAAAATATATTAAAAAAAAACAAACTCTAACTCAAAAATATCTTAAATTTAAGATAAAAATCACAATAGACTTAGAATCTATCTATTATATAGACATCACACTCGCTCATTTGTTTATCCTAAGATATTTGAGACTTTACCACTTACATATTTTCATCATACAACATATTTTAATTAAAGATTGGGTTGTAACTTACAAATATAACATCAATTCATAGTATGTTGAAATTATACTTGAGTCGGCTTAGTTAGATACAATCATGTTTGATTTACTGCTCTAGTACAGTATTAGAATATAATACCAAATTTTAGATTTAACTTCAGTACTTTAATACGTTGAATTGATAAAAATCTCCAATGAATTGTCCCAATTTTTGGTGCCATTATCTTTGGCTTGAGATTCGTACAATCGGAAGAGGAACAAAATCTCTATTTGTTTAATTTGTGTCTCAGGAACCAGGCCCATATGCAACTGTTCCATATGGGATTGTAGATTCTGTTCTTCTGCATACATCATTCGTGTATCTGTCGCTTTGAACTTTTTCTTATTCTTCTGCATGCACCAAATTGCTGATCAAGAGATCATATAGCTGTATCTCTTTATGGGCTACAGAAAAAGTTAACAACTCGATTCGGGATCTAGACTTTTTTTATGATAAAAGAAGAATTGGTATTCATTTTCATATTTTTGCAAAAATAAACGCTTTCGTGGGGACAACTGCAGAGATCACGAAAAAAATTAAGGAGAAAGACGAGTGTACAAAAAAAAAAAGTTGCTGTGACATGCTGTCTTGAAACTAACATTTTAAAGAACTAAAATAATTATTATCTTTGGTGGATTAATATGGATAAAAGGAAGTGTGTCGTAATAGTGAGCCTGACGCTGTTAGTTGAGTGTGGTGATGGTTAGAGCAAGTTGAGAAACAGCATAGAAAATTGGAAAATGGAAGTTATATTGTCTTAGAATAGTGTATAGTGTGTATCTTAGTTGTAAGTTGAAATAGATAAAGAGATGCAAAGGACAACACGGGAGGGATTTGTTTTATACGCGACTGGTACTTGGTACGCCCCAATACCACACGCTATGTACGGAACTAATTCTTTTAAATAATCATGCAATTTTTTTCTACAACATGCTATGGATATTTACTAACTCACTAACACTGTAAAAGTCAACAATATTATCACCATGTTTTTACCACTTTATTGCCAACCACTTCTAATAACTCGATTCCTTAAAACTAATTTTATCAAGGATTATGTTAACAATTTCTTTTAACAATTTTTTTTACAATAAATTATGTATTTCTGTTTTAATAGTTCGTATATTCAAAATAGATCAATCATAAATTATTACGTAGGTTGTTGTTGTTAAAAAATTATTAAGAAAACTTTTTTTTTATTAAATCCTTATATTGCATATGGTTCAAAACGTGTGGGATATGAACAGAAAGGAAGCACAATCTCATTCGTAGGCATTATGGTAGTGGTGGCCTATAAACGTTTTGAATGGATGGGAAGGAAAATGAATCTATAGGTGTTGGATACACAGCCCCCACGTGGGGTGTAAATGAGAGGTTGTCCGTAGCATTCTAAGCTCTTTCATTTTTCGACCACGTAATATATTGCGATGTCAACACTTCCTTGTTCATTTCAAATGCCATATTTATCCTAACCATCTTTAACA